AGCCCGCTGTGTTTGCCTAGCCAAGCCTCGACAGCCGTTTAAAGCCTGAGCGGTTCTCTTGCTAACAATCCTGACATCATCCTCATCATCATCATCATCATCCTCATCACACGAAGCACTGCTGACCCAAATACACTTAAACACATGCAGAGCAATCCAATCAGCCTAATCAAAGCTGCAAGCTACTCGGTTCACTTTGATCAGTTTTGTCTTTTCATTATCAACATACGGTTTATGTTTATTGTGCGTGAGCTGGTCTTGAACACATGACGCAACGCAAAAACATGCTAAAATAATATTTTATGCTTTAAATATAAAAAAAATAAATAAATAAATCTGAATTACTGTTACTTGATAAATTAATTATTTATTAACTTTAATTATTTATTAATTATTATCGGTTATTTAATTACTGATTATAATTAATACATAAAAAATATAAAAATTAATATTATTTTATAAGAAGTTGTTTTACATTAAGTATTATTTATTATTTATAAATAAATAAATACTATGCAAAACACCTTAATTATCAAAAAGAGGCACAATTATTATTATCATCATTAATAATTATTTTTCAGGATTACTATTACATTAGTTATTATTTTAATTTTAATTAATATTATATATTATTTTAATTGCCATTGATTAAATTAAAATATACAACATGCTAAGAGATATATAAAATACCATTATTATAATATTATTTTATATATTATTTTTATACATTAAATACTAATACATTTGTCACTATTATATATATATGCTTTGTGCTATTTACGTAAATACAAAACATAACTTTGCATTACGTACGTATAAATATTATAATTTAAAATATACGGCAATAAAAAAACATAAATAACATATAAATAATATACGAATATAAAATATTATATAGTTATATTTTTAGTCATTCTTGTTCTGCAGTAACTTAAAAAAATGTAATTGCTTGTTAATTACAGAAATATTTCTATATTTATCTGTCTGGTAACACAAGACTATGTACGTAATATATACATAAAAATATAATTATGTAAAATATATGGCTATATAGAAAACAAAATACACATAAATATTATATAAATAAAATATAATACACAAATATAATATATTACATAGCTATATTTTTAGTCATTTTTGTGCTGCAATTTTTAAAAAATAAAAATTTAATGGAAATATTTCTATGTTTATCTGTCTGAAAACACAAGACTACGTAATATATACATTTAAATATATACAACAAAAATAATTATAATATCAACATATTAAATATAATATAAAATAAAAAATATTATTTAGTGTCATTCTTGTTCTGCAGTAACTTTAAAAAAAATTATTATTTATTTATGGAAGCATTTTTATAAAAGGGTAAAATAAAAGATGCTCTTATATTCAAATGTCTGATAACAAGAGTATATAACATATAAACATAAATATTATAATTTTAAATATAACACAATATATATTAAATATAATTTTTTTTTAATTAAATAATAATAAGAAAAATTATATAAAATATATTTATAGTCCATGTTCTGAAATGACTTGATAATATAGTATAATATAGCAATTTAATAATAAATTACATATATATATATACACACACACACACACACTCTCATTATGATGCTAATTTTAGAATTTACACAAATAATCACTACACATAATTCATAACAGAAAATAAACAGTGTAAGGGAAAACTAGCTCATATAAGGCTTCATTGGTCAGCTGTCACAAACATACACTAAGACTGACGCAGGAACCGGTTCTGCGAGCTCCACACATGATGCTTTGCATTTCCAGAGAAATGTGACGCAATAAAAGCCCTAACAAGCAGGACACTATTCATAGCCCGTCGTTATGAAACGCACTAATCCATATCGGCTTTAACGGATTTGAACTATGAAGGGCTCACAGCTGGACACCCCATCGCTTCGCCTCCTAAAGATCCTTAACTCAATGAAAATGGATTATATTCCTGTTCACCCGAGCTGGGAAATAATGACAAATCAGCAAGATGAGGACTAGTTAGTCGACATGATCGCTGGAAACAAATGTGGCACTGAAGCCAGCAAAATCCAGACAACTACCTGTACATATCATGCCTTTCCAGCATCTGATGACCAAAACCGTACATAAACACAACTCCCTATGAAGGCAGCTGCCTATGATGCCCACAACGCTGTCTTAGTAGGCTATGATATCCGATTATGTAGAATGCACACTAGGTTTGGAGACTATGACACTTATAAATGCTGTCGATGTAGGCTGCTCACTAGATTCTAATGCCGTCTAGGTAAACAGTTCTCTAGATTTTGATACTATGAGGTCTAAAAATGATGTCTAGATAGGCAGCACACTAGGTTTGGAGACTATGATACTCAAAATGCTGTTTATGTAGGCATCTCATTAGATTCTAATGCCCAAAAATGCTGTCTATGTAGGCTGCTCACTAGGTTTTGATACTTCAAGGTCCAAAAATAATGAGACTTTGATGCCCAAAAATGGTGTCTAGGTAGAAAGCTCATTAGGTTTGGAGACTATGACACTCAAAATGCTGTCGATGTAGGCTGCTCACTAGATTCTAATGCCCAAAAATGCTGTCTAGGTAAACTGTCCTCTAGATTTTGATACTGTGATGTCCAAAAATGATGTCTAGATAGGCAGCACACTAGGTTTTGATACTTCAAGGTCCAAAAATAATGAGACTTTGATGCCCAAAAATGTTGTCTAGGTAGAAAGCTCATAAGGTTTGGAGACTATGACACTCATACATGCTGTCTAGGTAAACAGTTCTCTAGATTTTGATACTACGAGGTCCAAAAACGACGTCTAGATAAGCTGCACACTAGGTTTTGAGACAATGATGGCCAAAATACTGGCAGCTCACTAGATTCTAATGCCCCAAAAATTACATTTTACTACATTTTGATACTACAATGTCCAAAAAATGATGTCTAGAAATTTTTTTTTAATTAAATAATAATAAGAAAAATTATATAAAATATATTTATAGTCCATGTTCTGAAATGACTTGATAATATAGTATAATATAGCAATTTAATAATAAATTACATATATATATATACACACACACACACACACTCTCATTATGATGCTAATTTTAGAATTTACACAAATAATCACTACACATAATTCATAACAGAAAATAAACAGTGTAAGGGAAAACTAGCTCATATAAGGCTTCATTGGTCAGCTGTCACAAACATACACTAAGACTGACGCAGGAACCGGTTCTGCGAGCTCCACACATGATGCTTTGCATTTCCAGAGAAATGTGACGCAATAAAAGCCCTAACAAGCAGGACACTATTCATAGCCCGTCGTTATGAAACGCACTAATCCATATCGGCTTTAACGGATTTGAACTATGAAGGGCTCACAGCTGGACACCCCATCGCTTCGCCTCCTAAAGATCCTTAACTCAATGAAAATGGATTATATTCCTGTTCACCCGAGCTGGGAAATAATGACAAATCAGCAAGATGAGGACTAGTTAGTCGACATGATCGCTGGAAACAAATGTGGCACTGAAGCCAGCAAAATCCAGACAACTACCTGTACATATCATGCCTTTCCAGCATCTGATGACCAAAACCGTACATAAACACAACTCCCTATGAAGGCAGCTGCCTATGATGCCCACAACGCTGTCTTAGTAGGCTATGATATCCGATTATGTAGAATGCACACTAGGTTTGGAGACTATGACACTTATAAATGCTGTCGATGTAGGCTGCTCACTAGATTCTAATGCCGTCTAGGTAAACAGTTCTCTAGATTTTGATACTATGAGGTCTAAAAATGATGTCTAGATAGGCAGCACACTAGGTTTGGAGACTATGATACTCAAAATGCTGTTTATGTAGGCATCTCATTAGATTCTAATGCCCAAAAATGCTGTCTATGTAGGCTGCTCACTAGGTTTTGATACTTCAAGGTCCAAAAATAATGAGACTTTGATGCCCAAAAATGGTGTCTAGGTAGAAAGCTCATTAGGTTTGGAGACTATGACACTCAAAATGCTGTCGATGTAGGCTGCTCACTAGATTCTAATGCCCAAAAATGCTGTCTAGGTAAACTGTCCTCTAGATTTTGATACTGTGATGTCCAAAAATGATGTCTAGATAGGCAGCACACTAGGTTTTGATACTTCAAGGTCCAAAAATAATGAGACTTTGATGCCCAAAAATGGTGTCTAGGTAGAAAGCTCATAAGGTTTGGAGACTATGACACTCATACATGATGTCTAGGTAAACACTTCTCTAGATTTTGATACTACGAGGTCCAAAAACGACGTCTAGATAGGCTGCACACTAGGTTTTGAGACAATGATGGCCAAAATACTGGCAGCTCACTAGATTCTAATGCCCCAAAAATTACATTTTACTACATTTTGATACTACAATGTCCAAAAAATGATGTCTAGATCATAGGTTTTGTGAAAATGATGCTCAAAATGCTGTCTAGCTGGGAAGTTCACCATCCAAGCAGCTTTCTATAACGCCAAAATGCTGTTTAGGTAGGCAGCTCGTTAGGTTTCGATACTACAAGGTCCAAAAATGCTGTTTAGGTTAGTAGGTTTTGAGATTATGGTGTCCAAAATGCTGTCTAGGTAGAAAGCACACCATATTTCAACAGTATAATGCCCATAAATGATGTCTAGGTAAGCAGTGCACTAGATTCTGATACCATTAGGTCCAAAATGATTTCTAGATAGGCAGCTCACTAGATGTCTGCATAAGCAATATACATGCACATGCAGCTTATTGAGTGTAGTTATTAGACTGACATTCACATGAATGCACAGCACAGCATATAAAAGATTCATGCAACAGTCGAATTGCTTTCATGTAAACACATGACTAAATATTTAAATAAATAGCTCCAGTGAGCATATGATTGCCAGAACATTGTCTACATAGTCAGCTTACAAGGATTTGTATTTAAGTGCGTCTCCTGCTTTTCTTTTGACTGACACTCGCTCACGTGCAGTGAATATCTGCATGCTGTCACCGCGCGCATCGCTGCAGGGTCGCACTGATCATATGATGAACGCAGGAGCAGCCAGAGGTTGTAATACCGGACTACACAAAGACCACCCCGACAGTCCCGCAAACACAGATCAGCCCGAGCACGCAGAACAGAGCGGAGCGGAGCGGACCGCATCCCTGCGTCTCACGCGTCTCACCTGCGCCGTTCATCGCTCGCGTCCGCGTCCCTGCATTTCCCCGGTGCAACTCCGTCCGCGAACACACCGCGATCAACAGCCGTTTCGCTCGTAAATCCGCTCGAGAGCTCCCGCCGTAGTTTACCGCGAGTAGAGACGCCGCGCGGTCATTAATGTCACGGAAGCGTGTCACTGTGCGGGGACGTGAACGCGCAGTGAGGGGCGGGGGCGCGCGCGCGAGTGGGAGAGGGTTTCCTCTGATGATGTCTGTCTGTCTGTCTGTCTGTCTCTCTGTCTGTCTGTCTGTCTGTCTGTCTGTCTGTCTGTCTGTCTGTCTGTCTGTCTGTCTATCTGTCTGTCTGTCTGTCTGTAAGTCTCTCTGTCTGTCTGTCTGTCTGTCTGGGATATAGGGGATTCCCGTGGACGAGACGAGCAGCCGAACATGTTTGTGAGATGAGTCTGAATTCCAGGACCCAAAGTGAGGCCCCTGCCGTGCAATCAGATGGATGACGAGAGGCTCTGAACTGACCCGATCTCTTTGAAAAGCGTCATTAGCTCTGAGTGTTTTAAACAAACCAGATGGATGTTTGGGGGACGGGACGGGACGGGTCGGGTTTATGGGGACCCATGACGGAGCAAAACAACACCAGTGCATTTTATCTGGACAGACCAAAGACCACACCGTTCCTCAAAGATTTTCTGTTACTTTAGCCTGGGTTGCTTTAAAAAAGACACATTTTGTTTTTTTCTATCTGCAGATGTTTTTTTTCTGATTGTTTTATAGGATGATCATTCGGATCTCTGAAGAATGCTGTTTAATTATTTTCCCGCTAGATAATACATTAGATAAGATAGGAAAATAAATCTTTATACAGATGTTTATGCAGCTTCGTTGCTGTTGAAAATAACACACACTGAAAGCAGAAGTGATTTATTATTTCTGTTTGCAGATGTTTGGCTGATTGTGTTTTAGGATGATAATTCTGATTGCCTCAGATTTTTGCCCTGTGAACTGAAAAATAAAACTAGCATTAAACACCAACTTGACAGTCCGTCTAACAAATGCATAAATATACATTTACAAATGTACATTAATTCACCAACAAATGGTTTAAATACAGTTCTGAAGAAATGAATATGCCAGTCTGGTGTTGCTTCCCTTTCTTCCCCTTCTTAATATTTTACAACTTTTAAAATGCTGTCATTGCAAAAAATAAATAAATAAATAAATAATAAATATTTTAAAAAACATTATATATATATACCAGACAGTGAATGATGCAGATTTCTTTCCCACTGCTAGCCACTGACTTTATGAAGGAGGTTCAAAATATCACAGGCCATAAAACGAGACTTGAACACAATCCTTTAGATCTCACAAAGAAATGTGAAACATCCTGTCTGGACACAATTATATATTTAAAATTTAAGCAAAAAATAGAACATAAAAATATATAGTAAAACATATCTGCCTATAATTCAACTTAAAAACTTGAGTTCAGTTGCTGATTTACATTATTATGCCAAATCAAGCTGACAGTACAATAGATACTGTTTTTATTTCAGTCTCGTCTGGTTGAATCTTGAATAACAAAAACATTTAAATTGGCTGAATTATTTTGACGGGTTAATGGAAAAACATATGCAGTATACAGTATAGCTAACTTTAATTATATTGCTTTAATATACATTTTACTTTTTTGTATTATAGTAATTATATATATATATATATATATATTTATTATATATTTTTAAATTGTATATATATTTTTATTTCTCTTGATGGGTTAATGGAAATATATATATTGCAATTTTGAGTTGGGAAATTTGCTACATATATCGATATATACATATATTTAAATTACTTTATATAATTTAATATAAAATGTAATATTTTTGTAGTATAGTAATTTCATAGATTTTTTATTTCTCTTTTTTGCATTACAGAATTGCAATTTCTGTAAATTTCTGAAATTTTCCGTATATATTATGAATTTAAATTATCTTCATTATATATTTTAATATACAATTTAATCATTTGTATTGTAGTAATTTTATATATATATATATACACACACACACACACTCTCTTTTTTTGCATTACAAAATTGCAATTTCAATTTGGGAAATTTGCTTAATTGTCATACAAACAATGTAAAAAAAAATTATTTAGAATTACCCGAGTCACCCTGTTTTGTGTCTTATAAACAACACTTAGAACACCTTAGCAACCATACAGCAATGCCCTAGCAACAACCCACAACATCTTAGAAACTGCATAGCAACAGCCTAAAAACGCTCAGAACATCTTAGCAACCATATAGCAATGCCCTAGCAACCTCCCACAACAAACTGCATAGCAACAGCCTAAAAACACTCAGAACATCTTAGCAACCATACAGCAATGCCCTAGCAACAACCCACAACATCTTAGAAACTGCATAGCAACAGCCTAAAAACGCTCAGAACATCTTAGCAACCATATAGCAATGCCCTAGCAACCTCCCACAACAAACTGCATAGCAACAGCCTAAAAACACTCAGAACATCTTAGCAACCATACAGCAATGCCCTAGCAACAACCCACAACATCTTAGAAACTGCATAGCAACAGCCTAAAAACGCTCAGAACATCTTAGCAACCATATAGCAATGCCCTAGCAACCTCCCACAACAAACTGCATAGCAACAGCCTAAAAACACTCAGAACATCTTAGCAACCATACAGCAATGCCCTAGCAACAACCCACAACATCTTAGAAACTGCATAGCAACAGCCTAAAAACGCTCAGAACATCTTAGCAACCATATAGCAATGCCCTAGCAACCTCCCACAACAAACTGCATAGCAACAGCCTAAAAACACTCAGAACATCTTAGCAACCATACAGCAATGCCCTAGCAACAACCCACAACATCTTAGAAACTGCATAGCAACAGCCTAAAAACGCTCAGAACATCTTAGCAACCATATAGCAATGCCCTAGCAACCTCCCACAACAAACTGCATAGCAACAGCCTAAAAACACTCAGAACATCTTAGCAACCATACAGCAATGCCCTAGCAACAACCCACAACATCTTAGAAACTGCATAGCAACAGCCTAAAAACGCTCAGAACATCTTAGCAACCATATAGCAATGCCCTAGCAACCACCCACAACAAACTGCATAGCAACAGCCTAAAAACACTCAGAACATCTTAGCAACCATATAGCAATGCCCTAGCAACCACCCACAACATTCTATTCTAACTTGTCCAAATAAAAGTCTTACTATGGAACAAATCAGTAAACATCAGTGAATCAGGTCATACTAACAGTGTGCAAACGGATCAAACTTTGACCTGACGTTCCGGCTTTTACACATCAGCTTCTCTTCTCTCACGCTATTCCATAAAAGCTCCAGAGCTGCTGAGGTGCTTCTGAAATATCAATCCAGAGAGAATCTGAGCTCTGTGTGTTGCGCAAGAACGCCCGAGGCATCTTTCCTCTGGATCCACCTTAGGAAAATAACCCCAGTGTTTGTGTTAGAGCTGCACTTCAGCAGAACGATGGAGGATATTTACTCCGATCCAGAGCTGAGCAGATCACGGCCGACACACATCCCACACAAGAAACCAGTTTAAAGGGAAAATGTTACATTTTGTCATGGTTCGGTCACCCTCATGTGGTTTCAAACCTGTTTGACTGACTGTCCTTCTTCTATGGGACACAAAAGGAGATGTTAAGAAGGGACGTTTTCTCTTTATGGACTTGAGTCCGGATTGAGCATTTTTGGAGTTTGACTAAAAGCAGATACTCTATATGGTTGTAAAATTCACAATTCAGTTTTTAAAAAAAGCCCAGAAACACTACAGAGCCCCTAAGCGAGACATGGTGATGGAAAAAAAATATGAGATGGGAAGAAACATCTTGCATTCCCCCAAGAATCTTCACATTCGCTTGTAAAACTATAGAAGCTTCGCGTTCTCCTGCGGTTTCTTGCGAGCAAGTGCAACGTTCACTGAGGAACACAAAAGCACTGAAATATAATTGAAATATAACATATCTGCAGATGTTTTGCTGATTGTTTATAGGATGACCATTCGGATCTCTGAAGAATGCAGTTCAATTGTTTTGGATAATACAGTAAGATAAAGATAAAATAAAACGTTATGCATTTAATTCTACAAATGCACAACTTATAGTCAACATACAGTTTAAATAATGTCGCTCTTGAAAATAACATTTCAGAGAAACATGCTTCAGGATATTGAATCATTTATACACACTGAGTTTTCAAATGCTATCATTGCAACAACAACAAAAAAGCATACAAATTTAACGAGACGTGCAAACGTACAGCAACTCAATTTATCTTCTGCTTTCAATGTGTCTCGAACATATATATAGAAACACATTTTGAAAGCAGAAGTGATTTGATATTTCGGTTTGCAGATCATTGGCTGAAAAATAAATAAAACTTGCATTAAACACTAACATGACAGCCTGTCTAAAAGCACTGAAATATAACTTGTCCTGCCATCTCTCTCTATTATTTTTCTACTTTTTACCATCACTATGTCCCTTAAGGGGCTCGATAGGAAACAGAGCAATATATTGATGATTTATCCCACACTTATTGCTGCATCCAAATGTTTGTCGAATCAAATGCTCTCTAGAACGAGAACGTCTCATTTTAAAGTATTAAAAGTACCATGTGAAACCTGTGTGTTTGGCTGGTTAAGATGGCTTAATGAAGACATCTCGAGTGAGAAAAGAGACCACAGATTCACTGCCGTGTTATTTTTCGCTTCTGATGTGCTTTGAGTCGCTTGGCCTGGACCGCTAAAGACCCATAAAACACGGTTTACTGGAGCGCTCTTGGCTGCCGTGCTGAACAGATCCTCCGTGTGTGAATAACAGACACAAGTGACGCTGTTTTCAGTCAAATCTTCATCTTTAGGTGTGTATAAACTCTCGAACCAACCAAGCACGTACGACCTTTGACATCACACACAATGGACGATACAGAACCTGCGATTACTCCAGCACAAAGCCTATCATTTACAGAGTTTATAGAGGAATATGTTTGATATAACAGCGCACACAAACCAGGTTTGAGAAAGAACAGGTCATACTGAAGTGAAAATGATCATGTGTTCTTCAGTATCAAGTTATACGTTTAACATCCAGCAAATGAGAAGATTTTGCATATTCTTTAAACACCCTTAATGTATTTATTTCCCTTGATTTATCAATATTCACCGCTGATATTTTATCATTGCTAACCTGT